TAGACTTCAAGTAACTGAGCTAGTCTGGCCTATCTGGCTAACAGTTGGAATATATACATTCATCTATATATTTTTTTATCTTACCAACTGATATGCTTAGATAATACTTTGCTTGTATACATGTACCTCAATTTAGCTATAGATAAATCCAGTGTTAACAGAATATAGGGATTGTAAGAAAACATAAGAGAACCAACATTCATAATTTACAGGGTATCATCTAATCGCACACTCTGACTGGGCTCATATTCTGTGGATTTTGTTGTATCTTAAATTTTTTTATTATTATTTTGTTTTTTTTTCTACTTTTTTTCTCATAATGAAATTTGTGACCCGGTCGCATTGACACGTGCGAACTGCCGTGTCAGGCCCCCTTTAGCGTTCATTTTTCAGCTGCTTGTTGTTGTTGTTGAATTTAATGCGGTTTGTTATTTATTAGATTTACACAAATGGCATTTTGGGCCTAGTCACAGAGAGAGAGAGAGAGAGAGAGAAGCCAAGACTTTACTATTCCAACAGCTCCTGACTCTTGTCGCCTGCCAGGCGTTAAGTGCTTGCCTGTGCTCAGCTGTATGCAGAGCCCGCTGTGCGAAGAGCATAATGTGGGCAAAATAAGAATGAACAAAAATTATTGAAAATTCATTTAAATGTCAGCGAGGCAGAGTAGAACAGCTCAGAGCTGAGCAGAGTTGAGCTAAGCAGCGCAGCGCACCAAACTGGCGCAACATGTCGTATGCGTAATATTAAATATTTAAGGCGCTTACATTTTTAATGCGAACGTTAGCATGGGGTTGCTCAAGTTGAGCTCCGGGCCGATTCAGCGCCACCTGCCCCCCATCCGGCCAACAGACAACCCACCCCAGCCACCCCAGGAACACAGACGTTAAGAGAGATGAAGACGTGATAGGCAATGCCCGACACGCAAAGCACATGAGACACGCAAATATTTCACACGGAATCGATAAAAATATTGTTAATTAATATTCGTAGAGCTTTAAATGACAGCAGCCATCATATCTTATCAGATTTCGAGTGCTTTAAAAGCAAGTTATATCCATTTCAGTTTACACTATATTGTATCGTATGAAAATGTTGTTCTATGCATATTATTTTGTTTAAGTGCATTATGCACTCACCTAATAACCTATCTATATTTCAAGTGGGCCTCCATAAAGCAGCCCAGTGCCAGGAGCTAATCCTAAGCTGCTTATTAATATTGATTGTACACAATTAACCTGGGCAAACTTGCGTCAATAGTTTCATTTTTTCCACTGAGCTGATTATATTTCATTGTTGTTGTTGTTGTTGTTGCTGTTGTTATTGCATGAATGGAATATCTGCAGGATATGCCTTTCACTTTTGACAGACATAGCAACTAAAGATGTGCTCAGATGTTAGCTGTCGAGTGTATCTGAATCTTGTAAAGGTGTGTTCACTGTGATAGGACTTCAGCTGCATTTTGAATGAGTTGGGAATGAGTTGAGATATTATGATGAGAATTCTTTTTCGCTCTCACAGCAAACGGAAGAGATATTAAGAGAAAAGAATGCACGAGTCAAGTCTAACCAACTAGGATATACCCTAAACTTCATTCAATGCAGCTCGCATTGCAAACAGGTAAAAAACAGCCAAAAAAAAAAAAAATAAATAAATAAATAAAAAAATAATAATAATAAATAATAATAATAAAAATTATAATAATAATAATAAAGCAGCAGCTTATTTCTGTATAAATAATATTAATTTATGTAAACAAAGATATACATATATAATTAAATTTTGATTTGAATAAATCGAGTCTAACACTTTTAAATATATGAATTCAATATATGTTCTATATTTTCTATGGATTTTATAGACTCTATGAAGTCGACCCCGCATTTTATTATATATCAGTTACGTACATATTTAAGCAAGTATGTATATAATATTCTGAAATCGCATTTTCAATGGTTTCGGGGTATCCAAACGTAAGTCTCCAGGCGGACAGACAGAGAAACAACAGCTGACAAATAAAGAAATGGACAGGCGAAGAGACAGACATACAGAGAAACTGAGAAGATGGACAGACAGACAAACAGAGATACAGACAGAGAGACAGAAACTCTGACATATAGACAGACAGACAGACAAACAGACCGATTTACAGACTAACAGACAGACAGATTTACAGACATACAGATAGACAGACATAAAGACATCAGAAATACAGACTAAAATACATACAGACAAACAGATTTACAGGCAGACATACAGACATAAAGACATACACACATATAGACAAATATACATACAGACAGACAGACAAACAGATTTACAAACATTCAACCTTACAGACATACAGACAGATATACATACAGACAGTTATACATACAGACAGTCATACAGCCAGACGGACAGACACAGTCCCACTGAGAACTCTCGCCAACAAGAGATATGCACATGATGATGAACCAACTAAGCTAATATGCTGATCTAACTGTTCGAACACGTTATCAAATGCATTGGAAAACAGCAAAGTGTTGTCAACATGGGAGCTACCAAAAGCCAGCAGGCAGCAACAACAACAGCAACGACAGCAGAAACAACAACAACCGCAATGACAGCATCAACAATAACAACAAGCGGACGACGACATTCAACATATTTTGATTGCCTTCCAACAGTTAACGGTTTATTGTTGTTGTGCAATTTAAATCCAATTGACAACAATAACAAACAGAGCACTGACAATGTCAACAGCAAAAGCAAAATGCGAGCAACATTTCAAAGGGCCGCGAAAAAAGTTTCAGCAAAAAATCTGCATATTTATATATACAGCGTGAGAGAGAGAGAGAGAGGGGGAGAAATATATCTATAAGCACCTATATATATATAAATATTTATAAGCATTAGATGCTATATTTAAATTGATGCAACTATAGAGGTGGCATTTGCGTTTGATTTTGATCTTCTATTTGGTGGTATCAGGTTCGTGGCTCATCAAATAAAAGCTACTATTTGGCAGTGCCCTTAACATGTTTCTATTTCATTTGTGCTTCCCTTCGGCATTCGACAGCAAATGTTTTTGTTTTTTTTTTTTTTTTTTTTTTGTGGGTCACAGAAATGACAAACAACGATTATGCAATGATATCAATTTCCCACGTAACTGGCGCACGTCTTTGGCCCCAGCAATTTATTGACATTGGCTGTAAGACATTTTACGGGCCCTAAGAAGTCTGCCGACAGGAAATCGAAATCGACGAGCACGAAACCAAGAAGCCAATACAACGCGTCGTATGCGTAACCAGAATCTAGTGGCAAACGAAATAATGCAACAAATTTAAGGAAAATGGATGGGGCATGGATTTATGTGAAAACAAGTAAAGCCATTTCAGTCGAGCATTACCGACTGCTGAATACTCATTCACGGCTACACTCAAAAGCTGCAAGATCTATTTCCAGATTTGCTACGCGCCAATTCGGATATTTGCCTATTCTAACTGTAAAATATTTTATTTTTTCGATTTAACATGCTAAAAAAAATGCTTTATATTCAGAAACAATTTACCATGTTCCCCATTTATTTTGAACAATTTTTTAGGATCATAACAGTAATCTAGTAAAGCTTTCTAGCCCTAAAGCTGTAAAAGATAACGTTTTTCCCGAGCTGCCACGCCCCTAATAGGCATATATACATACGCCACATGTAGTGGATGGATCGGACAACACTTGTTGATTCGAAGGTATACACATTGCACCCAACCAATATACTCATTTCACTTTCTTGAAAGAGTACAAAAATATTTTAAAAATGTATATTTAAAAAAAAAATAAATAAATAAAATAAAAAATAAAATTTACAATAAAGACGATAAAACTACATGCTCTCTATTAAAAACACTCTCAAATACTCATTTAAAAAGGCTTTAAAGAACATCAATATCCATTTCGATGTGGAACAGGTGAGGAAAGGCAATGAAGACATTTAAACGATTTTCTGTTGAATTTCTATAGATTTTTTTTCGTTATAAAGCATATTGCGGTGCCTAAGCCAACCATTTCCCCACCTCCCGTAATCTTGTGACAAAAACCCCAACATGCCAACCAAACCGGGGAACCGCCGCGCCTCGCTTCACCGCCCACATTACCTAGTCGCACCATAATCAAAACATCTTTCTGCTCACAATCCCAGCTGCCTTTTTCGCTTTCGTATTATGTGTTGTTGTTGTTGTTGTTGAGAAGAGGGAAATATGATTACAATGGTTGACGCAGAACAGTGCCAGGTGGAAAGCTTGTCACATATATATTGTCCGGTCTGCGTTGTCTGTTGTGTGGGCGTGGCAGTTTATGTATATAACATATATAGAAGTATATACATATGTGTATGCATAAAAAATGTACATATATGCATATAAACAATAAATAATGCCTGCTTAATAATAAATGAATGCGCTATATACCCTAACCGCAAAATATTTTTACATTTTAGATTATTACACCATTTATTTGGCTTAAAATTAAAAAACATAAATTATATATATGTATATACATATATATAAATGTAAATATATTTGTTTCAATATTTACTTATTATATGTTTTTAATTATATAAGCATTAAAAATGTTTTTATAGCTTTTATTATTTTTGTATTATATTATTTTTAATACATAATAAATAAATCCTAATATATTAATATCATACAATTTTAAATATATAAAAATGATATTTAAAATGGACTAAAATTGTAAAATATGAATATATTAAAATTTTTTTATTATGTAATAAAAATAAAAAGTATATAATTAAATATTTTTTATTATGTATAAATATACAAGTATCCCCACTAATTTATTTTTTTATTTTATTATATTTATTTTATTATTATTATTATTTTATTATATTTTTATTTAGTTTGAAATGTTGTATTATTTATTAATATTATTTATTTTATTATTATTATTTCTTAAAATTTTAAGAGTATTTTTTATATTTTACATTTGAATTTCCAATAAAAACATTCTTCATATATATTTTTAATCGATCGACTGGAAAGAGAATCATTGTCGTTTTGTGATTTTCTCTTATTTTTTTTATTTTTTTTATTTTCAGCTTTATTTAATTTTGAAATTCGTTTTTCGATTGTTCTTCGTTTCTAATTATTTTGCGTAAAACGTGTAAATTTTTCATGAACTCTGCGCCATGCGTAATTAATTATATTATATAATTAAGCACAAATTAAAAGCATTGTTTGCAATTTGCCTTTCACGCGTGTAGACAAACACGTAAATATTACAAATAGTTCGCGCCGGGTCAAGAGATAAACGAACATTTTGTATTTATTAAATAGACCGCAAATTCGATGCTGGCATTTTAATTCATTCAAAGATCTCGGTGTAAATACCTGATATTTGTCGGCGAAAATCTATTTACAAACGGGCTTAAAGTACCAATACATGTAATATGCATCGCTCTACTCACGTATCACTGCAATGAAACAAGATTTAAATCGTATTAGGTGGATAGATAAATAAAGTCAATCAATACAAAATATAATATTATATAATATTATATAAAAATATAGGACATTCAACTATCCTATAGATAGATATATGGATAAAAAGATGGATTGATGGTTAGATAGATGGATGAATAGATGTATAGAAAGATAGATAGATAGATGAAAATATAGATAGATATATTATATTATAGATATATGCAATAAAGACAATTTAGAGGCATCTCTAAAGACTACCTCTGCTTGAAGTCTTACTTGTATATACACAAGCACACATACAGCCACGTATAAACAACAATATTAGATATCATGCTTCCTCTTCTCTTCAGAACCGAGCTCTGCAGAATGCCGTGTTTAAGAACATCCGCTTTTGTTGTCCAATATCTATTAACTTTTTGCAACTCGGGTCTGGCATCAGAATAATAAATGTTAACAGTTAAGTATACGTACATGTCTATGTGTACTATACCACATGAAACCGGCTTAACTTAGTCGATACACTCATTTCATATATGTATGTATTTTCTCAATGCAATATACCTCTACTCAACTCATATTTCGAGGCAGCAAGCTTGACCTCTTTGGCACACTGAAATTTTAAGCTGCAATGAAAATACCCCCAACTGTAAGTCACATTGTAGCTACACTGCAAGAATGCTCCAGTATGCGGGCTCATTTCGTTCTATAAATTTCAAATAATTACAGGATGTCGCCTAAGTTGCAAATTGTTTCTGTTTCCTGTGAGATAATCAGAGGATAGGAGAAGTGGCGTATTGATCGAGTACAATTAACAGAAATGCTATTCGCATAGGAAATAAATAACTAAAGCCAAGTACATCAAATGCATTTAGTAATAAATATTTTATAAATCAAATTTTGCCTGCAGTCGGCGCATTGTGTGCATTTGTTGTTAGCTTTCTTATTTAGACTTGACATTAACTTGTCCAGGTGGCAAAACTTTCCTCACACGTCAATTTCACTTAAAGTGTTGTTAGTGCTGGGAAGCTGTGTGTGTGTGTGTGTGTGTGTAACAAGGTCTGGTTTTAAAGTCAACTTTGTTTTAAATCAATAAGTCAAATGCTATTTATTTAATATGACTAAAATTTCGGCTACCAAAATTTTCTTTTATTTATAAGAATTCAGAGAGTCTAAGAAAATTAAGTTTTTACTAGTGTGCTAATAAAAATGATCAAGTATAATTTAATTAAATTGAAAATAAATCAAGTTTCAGTTCTCATAGAAAAAATTGTGGATAATAAAATAGATATAGTTAAAATGTTTGTCATACATATAGACATATGTACATGCATATATATTATATACATTATGATTATTGTCTTGGATCTAAATTATTGTCTTGGATTTAAATTTTGATAGTGGAACCTAGCTCGAGTTTTCATCAATGACATTGACGCCTCACAAAGCTCCAGCATCTCCTTGAGGATTTAATAATTAAAATCAAATAATACAAATAATAATCAAATCAGATTAAAAAAAAAAAAATCTTAAATGCAATTATTTTTTTCTTGTAATATTTTTGTATATATTATACAAAAAAAAAATTTAATTTATTTAACACATACTTTGTAGTTTTTCACATTTTATAATCAACAAATTCCCCTGCATTAGCTGCATGTGATAATAGCTATTTATATTCGCTGACTCAATTCGATTCGTCGCAAATACATTTGATACTCTATATATTTGCAATATATATTTAATGTAGCCTCCATGCGCATTCTGACTCTTTCCTCAACGAATACCAAAATGAGTAGAGAGAAAAGAAAAAAAAAAAAACGAAAACTTTTTGAAAGCTGAAGGTCAAAGCATTTTGGCCTGTCAACGCGTTGCTCTTGTAGTTTTTCAGTTTTCTTCTGATGCTGCTGCAGGCAACAAATATTTTTACAGGCGCCAGAAATGTAGCTGGCATGTGCAAAGACCAGCAAGCGCGCACACACACACACACACACACACACACACATACACATATAGAGTGCTGAACACACTTGCGAGTCAAAGAGAAGATGCAGTAAAGTATTTGACGCTCATGGCTTTGTTTGCCAACAATTTCTAAGCGCATATTTACTTTAAATTGTTGGACCATATTTTGTTTTTGTTGCACTTCATGTTGCAATAATGCAAGAATTGTTGTTGTTGTTGTTGCTGTTGCTGCTGCTGGCATATATTTCATATTTTTTGGAGAGTGAGCAGCAGTTGCACTTTGCATGCTGCATGCGGCACACTGCATGCGGCATGCATATTTCGTTCACTGCAGTTTAATGCGCCAGCATTTTATGTGTGTGTTTTTGTGTGACGCTCTGCGCCATTCAAGTGGTGGTGGTGGTGGTGGTGGTGCTGGTGGTGCTGGTGGTGGTGGTGGTGGTCGTGGTGGTGGTGCAGCGCTAAGACGCCACGAATACCACATAAAAACTTTCAACGTTTCACTTTTAATATTGGACAGCAGCCGTATATGTGATGCAAGTAGTAAAACTATTTGAGAGCTAAATGAAATTCAGTCAAATACGACTAACTTTGGGTTAGATCTCCGTCTGTATATGCAGTATATGGACTATAGATGAGTACAGTTATATTTATATGTAGACAACAGATGAGCAGTGTTATCTGCAGCTATATATATACATATATCTATACTACAGATGAGCAGGGCTAAGCTCTGCGCTATGCTACTTATCTCTTATTCATTGGCAGATGATTCATTAACAAACTAAATAATTCATTTAGTAAGAGTGCTCGAGTCGAGATTGCTCGACTCGAAAATTCTCTGAACCCGGCAAAGAGCTGATATTCCCATATTCCATTCTACTTTTATACTGTGGGAGCTAGACTAAGATCGTCGCGGTTACCCAGAATATATATATATATATATCTATATATATCTCTATATGTGACATACATTTTCACAAAACCAATACACCCGGATTACCCATATTTTTCATGGATTCAGGGCATACAAAAATAAATATTTGGACAAAAGTTATGTGACAGGACTTTCACATATTGAGTTTTTAAAACAGAAAACTAAATTATATAGTTCTTAATCTGTTGTCCGCCCGTCCATTAGAACTCAGAGATCTCGTAATTCACAAAGGCTTGACTAAAGCACACTTACTTCTTTATTCTATTCTATATTTATTATAAGCAATCGAGTTTTTCCCAAGGCGACAACGCATTATTGGGGTTACTCTCATGTCATAAAAAATTCTGTTCAAGGAATTCGGAATGCGAGAACAGAATTTTATATGATATTCAAATAAAAACCTCAATAATTCGTTGTCGCCTAGGGAAAAATTGACAAATACAAATTTCAAACATAACAAAAAATGCCAACAGTAAATAAATAAATCTACTACGAATCAATGGCGACATCAAAATCTATGGAGATTTTACGAATCAATGAATATTACCCAAGACGGAGCAATTTATAATGATGTGAGCATAAATAACAACTCCGCGATAAAGATCCTGATCCCTAGACAAACTTATATGGTTATAACGTCTTCGGTCCCTTGAGCGTCGTTATAATCTAGAATCCGATTATGTGTGTATTTGTTATTTTATTTTCAGAGCTCAAATTCTGTGAAAATTATAGCTAGCAAATAATTGTCGACCGTTTCTCGATGTCTGTCAATAGATATCTTTCACTCACACTCTGAGAAAAAAGTCAGAGAGCAACCCATTGCATCGGTTCTACAAAGAGTTTTTTTTACGATCGAACAGAAACCCTTTTTTCTGCTCTAGTCATTCGTAAGTATGGGCATGTATGTGTATATGCATGTAAAGACCGTTTTCATTGACTCTCATTGTGTGAACATCAATCGTATCGCTCCCTAAACGATGCTCGTGAAGAGAGCATCACACGAATAGTTCAACTCCAGACGCTCAACAGAAAACGAAAAACGAAAAGTTCCGAAGATTCTTGCTCAGAGCGAGGGCCGATTGTACATGATTTTTATACTCATTCACGAAAATAGAACGAGTATATTAGTATATTAGTTCGGATCGCGCAAGCCGAGCGTAAGGAACTAGACGGTTCATAATTTTGATAAGTTAGGGCAGGCTTTATATAAATATTAAGCATATACCTTCCCGATTCATTCAGCGTCTTCTGTCTATCTATAAATATGTACATATATCTTTTAACTCATAAATGCTATAGAGTTTACGTTTACCTATGAAAAATCCAAATTAAACTCTTTTTCCCATCATTCATAGTATGTTAATATACAAAGCACTTTTGAAACCTGTTTGAAACTACGGCAAACACTTTGGGTTAACTACATCAATGCATAAGGCATACAAAGACTTCCAATGGAGTGATATGTACGCTATCAAGTCATGCACAGAAACCAAAGCATATCAACAGTCCTCAAAGACATATCCACACACAGCAATTGACACTTAAGTAGACTAGAAGAGCATCTTATTAGATGTTGGCTGACAGCGACACTAGACTATATTATACTACTCTATATTATAGCCACTTGATGAAGACAATCTATTCATTTCCTACTTAAGTGAATTATTTTCATCATTAAAAGTATAAGCCAAATATGCCTTTTCGCCCTGATTCATCTTATCTTTCGACTCGAACGCTCTTTGCTTAATTTTTTTATTTTATTTTTTTTTAATAGTTTTCACATTTGAAATATTTGAATAAACAAAATGTTTTCATTCGTTGCCCAAAGATAAACTAATAAATTAAGGTTAATCTCTTTAATGAGATAATATCACTTTGCATAATATTAAACAGGAGTTACTTCTACCTAATCTTATTTCTGTCTCGGGCTTTTATCAATTTAAGTATTTAATTTTTTTTTTTATTTTGACGGTACTCACAGCACTCCACTTGCTCCAATATGTGTATAAATTTATGTATGGCAACAATGTTATGAATATTTCATTTGTTATCGCTGCGACAGCAAGATAAAATGCTACACACACACACACACACACACAGACAGACAGACACAGAGAGACGTCAAGATTAAAGAGGGGGAGGCACGTGTGCGTGTGGAATACATTTTCTGGGTCATTTTCAGTGTTCAACGTGCACCGTTTTTGGAGCTGGCGAAGCCCCAATGCAAAGGTTAACAAATGCACCTACAAATGCAACCAAAAAACGGCTTTAAGCTTATGATTAATTATGAAATGTTGAACAAGTGACACAAAAAGCCAAAGCCAGGTGCAAGCAATATTTATTGCACTGCAATTTGCTGTGACACTGATATAAAGCCAAGGGAGCGAGCAGCAGAAAATAAATCTTAAATATAATTGAATGCAGTCGCTGCTCTGTTATGATAGATTTAAATTAACTAAAGGAAGATAATCATTCTATATATTCAAATAGTATTCTGAAAACATCTAATGGGGAAAAATGTAGTCAAGTCGATTAAGTCACTGAATCAACTCTTTCATCAGTTTTAATTTCGCTTTCAGCTTAATACGTTTTCAATATCAATTCATTTGTCAATCAATATATCTATAGTTCTTTAAACCACATCGTCAATCCTTGGGGAAGGCAACTATCTAGTAGTCAATCAACAGCTACAATGGCGTCAATCAGCTTATCACTTTCTCTGACGAAGCATAAGTGCTTCAGTTAATCTGCCATTCAGTCAATCAATCAAACTGTGAAGTCGATTCGAGATTCAGCAAGCTGACCTTTCCCTTATTTGGTCAATCATAACAGTTAAGAGCACTAAATTAACGAAATGGCACAAGCAACATAAAGAGTGAGGGAGAGAGAGAGAGAGAAAGAGCGAGAGCGAGAGCACTACGACAGCTGCCGCTCAATTAACAGACTTAAAATAAAGTCAGTCGCAAATATTTACAACGGCTTCAGCTGGAGAATGGTAAATACTTGGCTAGGGCAAATGTGGAAATGGAGAGTATGTGTGCGTGTATGTGTGTGTATGACGAATGGTGGCTGGGCGCAAGATGGGGGCCAATGTGACTGCTGCCAACGTCCTGGCAAAAAGGATAAAAAGCCAACGTACTTCATTAATTTTAATTAAGCGCCCACAGCATGACACAAAAGTCAGCCCCAAAATGTGAGGTAGGCCGTAAAAATTTCAACTTTTGTGCCAATGCCACCTGGTAAATGGTACCTGCTAACGGGTGAGTGGTAAGCGCTGACTGCTGACTGAAGTCTGACTGAAGGTGACTAGAAACAGGACAACAACAGCAAAAATATAAAAATAAAAAAAAAAATATATATATATATATACATACATATATAAAAATAGCAACAACAAAATAAGAAAGTATTTCACATCCTGCGCAATGTCTGCAGATGCTACAGAGCTACAAATTTAAAGGGCAGAAAAAAGCGTAGCTAAGGCCGGATATATCAAAGGCATATTAAGCGTAGCTGATATAAATGGAAAATAGTCTGAGGATTTAATATTTACAAGAACGTATTGGTATATAAATATGCCAAATCATATTCATCTCAATAAATAAAGCGTGAAAGGGTTTTGTTCGTTTCTGCCTTTAAGTTAATTAATACAGTTATTCCGTTAAACTTATAATTTAATATATTTATTATTCTCTGTGTCTTTGCCTATTGTTGTTCTAGAAATTTCCGTTTCGACAGAGTTCTTAAGGCATATTTCCTGACGCACGAGCACATCCCTAGACGCGCCTTAAAGTAGGCACGCATTTTTTTTTATTTATTTATTTTTTTTTTTTATTTTTTTTTTTTTTTTTTTTTTTTTTTGAAAATGACAAATTAGTCGCGGACTTTTTAGCTTTTAGCTTTTTACTCTTGAACATTTTGCCATTTGCCAGCTGGCATTTTTTCGATTTATTTTTTTACATTTTTTATTCTTTATTTTTATTTGTTTATTTTATTTATTTTTTTTTTTTTTTTTTTTTGGGTTAACCTTGAGATTTTCAAGGGAATAATAAATAAATGTTGCTGACTCGACTCCATTTATCCCCGCCCCGACTCTCAATTTGTATCTACACATAATATTACCCTCTCTTAGGTAGTTTTATTTGCTTTGTTAGTGCCAGGCGATGCCTTGTAAATATATATGTCGAGGGAGTTGCTGCTACCAAGAACATAAATAAACATCTATGTAGATCTCATGTCATACATTTAACTTTTTGGCGCAACGCAAAAACCGCAAAACTTGAAACATTTCAATTTGGCTGCGAAATGGTTTAAGTTTGCCTTAGGACCGAGAATTGAGTGGACCCAGAGCCGTAAAGGCGCAGAGGCGGGGCATCATTTGCGTGAAGGGTTGATTTGAGAGACCGTAGCTCAGCAGTCGGCTAGCAGCTTTGGCGGAACTGTGACAAGCATTAAAGTCCAACTCTTAAATAAGTAACCATGAAGGACTTGGACGCAGCTGTTGAAAACCTGAAGTTGAAGTAAAGTTGGAGAATTAATAGCTGGCTGGCTGGCTAACTGGCGAGCCGTCCGAAGTTTTCAACTGCTGCTAAATGCTTATTGACAAATGAGCTAAACCGTTTGTAATGGCAGCGAATATCAACTTGTATTAAACGTGTGAATTAAGTCAACTATACAAATAATAAAAGTGAGCGAAGTTCAAATAAAGTTAGTTGTTTATAAAAGTTTATTTAGGCAACAAATTCTTAAATAACTCAATAATAAATTGCAAAATTTAGTAAAACAACTCTATATATGCATAAACAAGTAAGAAGCCTCTAGTCGAGACTGCTCGACTAGGACTCTTTATAAAAAGGAAATCGGATGAGTTATCGAAAAAATAAGATACACTCGCACTGCGTATGGCATACACGAGTATACATGCAAAATTTCAGATCTCTAGCTCTTATATCTTCTGAGATCTAGGCGTTTATACGGACAGGCGCACAATGCTATATCAAGAATATATATATTTTATGGGGTCTGCGATAATTCCTTCTACCTTTTACATACTTTACACAAAAACATTATACCATGATTTCACATTTTCAATGGTTTCAGGGTATAAAAAAAAAAGGAGTAAAGCTTCTTTTCTTTTTTTCTTGAAAAAAAATTACTGCATTGGATTAGTTCAGCAGAGTATCTAATAGTCCTGCATGCTGACTTGATTTGTTGAAGTGTAACCGTTTAGGTATTTAAAACACAGTCTAGCTCTAGACATCTTGGAACTTATCGAGTGCATAATGCTCGTAATATCGCTCACAGGACATATAAATCTCAAGTAATAAGCCTGTAGGGTAACCAAACCCGTCAATGCTTCAGAAGGCTAGCAACAACTTTTGGAGTCTTTAGGTTTAAAACTGTTAAAAATGTTCATTTAATAATTAAGAGCTAAAGCTGAGCGACGATGAAGAATGCAAAGAGTTATAAACCATATACGAATATATATATAGGTATGCTTATAAAGACAGATGTATACAAATATATACATATATCTTTTATTAAAACCTATGCGCTGGAATTAAGAGAATCCATTTAAATTAGAAATGTTTTAATTGAAGCGCGCGTGCGATGCAGACAGAAAATAAAAAATAAAATTAAGGAAAAACGCCATGAAAATGCCGAGGGAATGAAATGTGCGCTTGGCTGCGGCAGGCTGAGGCTGAGGCGTGGCTAAGAATTGTGGACGGTGGGCGGTGGGTGGTGCTAAAACTAGCAAAATGAAATCGCAGCTGTAGAAGCGACAGCGTCTAGAAGAACGACAATAATAGTAGAGATCATAAAAATTGCGGAAAAGTCGAAATGGGCCATAGAAATGTTATACCCACACACACACCCACACTCGCGCACACACACATAGGCAGAGGCTGACATGCACATAAGCTGCGCGGCTAATTAGATTAAAAACCAACAGCAACAACAACAACACCAACAACTACAACAACAACTACAACATGTATAAAAACATGCGTCAGGCCACTTACTAATCCAACATTTCAATGTCATCCTCATCGTCGCTGTCATCGTAGCCGCCATCGCGTCGCTCCTCGTCGTCGTCATAGAACCTCGCCTCCTGGGCGGCATTCACCGGGCCGAAACGCTCGCGGCTGCGCTCGCGGCTCTGCTGGCCGCCTTCGTTGCTGTTGCTAATGTTGCTGGTGCTGCCACGCCCCTGGGCGGTAGCGGCGGCACGGCGACGCATTGTCGATTGCACGGCCAGGCCGACGCCCTGCTCCAATTCCTCCTCCTCTTCATCGCTCTCGATCTCGATTTCGTCGAGATCGCGTTGGCTAATGCTGCGCTCCGGCATTGTTACTATCGCTTGACTTTATATCTCTCGCCCTCTCGCTCGCTCTTTCTTTCTGTTGCTCTCACTCACTCACACACGCACAAGCAAAAAAAAAAATTGATATATATTTATATATATATGGCACGATTTATAACAGAGATTCAATCCAATCCAATTCGAGACAATTCGATTCCAATTCGATTCCAACTCAATTCCAATTCAATTCCAATCCAATTCTTCGCACGACACGACACTTGCCACAGACACTTGCCACACGCTGAAGAGACTTGCACCGAACGCATCCAAAACTGCAATTGGCGCTGCGAGTGCGTCGCCAGTTGGCAGCAAGCGGCCAAAGTGGCCAATTGACTCGATGGGGCTTCGAAAAGGCCGCCAGGTGATTTCATTCCAGCTAATTCAATTAGCCCAGCCACAGAGTGCGGGCAAATGTCTAGCTGTAACTGTAGCTGTGTATGTTGCTAGAGCATTGCTTTTTCTGCTTCTGCTTCTTCTTCTTGCCTTTTTTGTTTTGAATGGGGTCAGCGATTTTTGGGGGCGACATTTTTTGGCGGCCATTACAGCTGGCATGGCTAAGCAGTAGGAAGCCCCAGTTTGTGGCCGACAACAAAAAACAAGAAAAATGGCTACAAACAAAATGAAACTTGAAATACATTTCCAAAAATGTATCTAACAGATTCAATAGTACTATTGATTACTGTAGCTGAGAGATAGTTTTTAATATGAGAGATTTGTATCTGAAAAATATTTTTGAATGTGGTATGTCTTTATCTGAAAGATAACTTATTATCAGTATCACATTTTGGTATCTGAGAGATAGTTTTAATCAATGTTTGTATCAAATGTATCTGAAAGATACTTTTATTTGAAAAATACATGTATCTGAAAGATACTTGTATGTGAAGGATGCTTGTATCTGAAAAATACTGGTATCTGAAGGATACTCCTTCATATGCAATGTTTACATCTAAAAGATACTTCTAAAAATCTGACACTTGTGTCTGAAAGATAATTCTTCAAATGTGATGACTGTATCTGAAAGATACTTTTTAATGTGTGTTTTGGTATCAGATAGCAACTTTTCAAAATTAGATGTCTGCATTTGAAAGATACTTTTTCTAAAACATGCTGTTTCATCTGAAAGATATTTTTGTTTGTGATATTTATATCTGACAGATACTTTTTAAAATTTGATGTTTGTATCTGATAGATACTTTTGGATGTGATGTTTGAATGCAAAAAATATTTCTCAAAATTTTATGCTTGCATCTGATAGATACATTTTAAAATGGGATGTCTGTATATCAAAGATACATAGTTTTTCTTAAAATCATTTCTTAAACTGAAAGATACGTTGTAATATATGAATTAGTATCAGCATTTTATGTTTGTATCTAAAAGATGGCTTTTATTAACATTATTTTTTAAGCTAAAAGATAGTTTTTTTTTTTTTTTTGTATCTTATAGATACTTTTTAAAACTTAAGGTTTGTATCTGAAAGACACTTTTAATAGTTTATAAAATATATCACATCTATTAACATGATTTCCCACGGCATGGGACACAGGTGTTTCACTTATATTTCTGTAGTCGATCCTCTTGACCATGAGGATGGTCAAATGTAGCTCTATGCTTTCCCGAAAGAATATATTCATGTTTGGACAAATGCTCCCTGCAGATAGATAAATGTATCTAAGACCACAAATGGTATCAAACATCATTATCATATCAAATAAATTTCTTCTTTAAATAATAGCATTGCTAATTCATTATTATATCGAACAAAGCGCAATTGCACATTCATTCACAATTATTTCAGTCATAAGCACAAACCAAAATGGAATTCTATAGAAAAGTAAATAAGGGAAACGAGCTATTTTCTATTTTCTTATGAACAATTGCTTAACGTATATGAATATACATATATAACTTGCTGAACTCAAAGTCAATCAGATATATAAGAATAACTGAGTTCTTGGCTAAGCAAATTTATTAATTTCATTAAGCTGAACAAGCTAGCAGCATTTACAAACTTCTTTTATCTTATCAGTAACTGTTTATATAAATTCAATATAACTCTATAGAGCGAGAGAGCATCAAGCAAAACGATCAAACATGGAGACAGAGCAACGACCAGTTTTGCATAGATCACTGTAGCTTACTCATCTCAAAGGCCTCATATTAACTGGTTGAACCAGCTCAAAAAATCTTGTTGTACTTCAGTGTGTCTTCGCATATCTGAGAGTATTGATCGGACTGCATAGAAGATCACCAACTTCGAAGAGACATACGATCAGTTCAGCAGAGGTCGTAGATCTGTGTAGCTCATTCTACTGAGTGAAACATGAATCGATGCTCTTGCTCATCCTATATAATACCCCTACATAATGTATAATGAGCAGAGGCGTAGTCCAAGCTCAGATTAGACAAGCTTCACAAAATCTGTCAATTCTTCCATGGGTATTTGCATGTGTAAGAGTATTGATCTGTACCTATAAGAGCTAAAGCTTATAATCAGCTATATAAATCAAGATCAATTAGAGCTCATGTCAAACTTCCGGTAGAGTTATATTTCAGGTCAACAAAGTTGATATCAAGATACTGCCAGCATAGACAGAAATTGAATATTAAACACTTTAATATTCTGGTGAGTCAGAGTGAGTCAGAGTGAGTCAGAGTATCATCTAGTCGGGGAAAACCCACTTACCCATATGAACGTTGAATCCCAATATATTTACTTGAAGACACAACATTGCTTATAGCTTGATCATAGACATAACAAGACTATGTTTACAGGGTATATGCATACACGTTCGCCATTGGCTATTGCTTACAGGGTATCTGCTTAGGGTCTGACCAGTCTATTGCTTACAGCGCATCTACTAGCCTAACGTTAGCCAGTAGTTTCATTGATTTCTGTGTGAGCTAATTGCAGGCAGAGGCAAAAGCTGAAACTTATTAAAATTTATACGTATATTGGCTCGGTCGGCTGTTTGGCGATTCGCCTATTTGGCCATTTGACGATTTGGCGGCGGCTCTGGCTTCCGGTTGTTGGCGAGCCAGAAGAACCATAAAATTGAAAATGAGCTGAGCCAAGACACAAAGGCAAAAAAAACACAAAAAAAAAAAAAAAAAACGCGCGCATTTAATGAGCCATTTCAATGCCAAGGCGCAGTGTGCAGCCAGCTGAAAATGCTATTATACCCTGTACGTGGCTCTCGTGCATGGCGAGTGATATGTACAAATATATTGCTTGAACATATTTAAAAATACGAAAATTGTTTGATTTTAAGAATTTGGATCTTAGTTATATAGCAAACATGTATAAAGTTAGAGTAGATAATGGAAATTTATTGGGATAGCAAATTTTAAGCAAATTAATTTCTTTCAGCTAATCAGATTTGATAGAGTTTTAATTATCTTATTATTAAGGCGGTCGAACTCTCCAGTTGAATATTCCAGGGCAGGAGACAACGAATGGGGCCTAGATGCCACAGCTCATATTTGGATGAGACATAGTTGAGATCCAACTATGATTATCATATAGACTACTTAATTTCATTAAATACCAAGTCTATTTAAGCATTTAGAGAATAGAACTTAACACTCTTCATCGCTAGCTCAGGAAGTCTTACTGCAGACTTTCTCTCAAATCTCTCAAATTTCGCAAGTGTAGCTCCCTTATCCATTTGCCACGCCCACCAGAGGCACATACATATACTTACTGGCTAATCAATAATATTCAAACCGTGGAAAACCTAGTTTTATCAAATATATTATATATATATTTTACTTTTTTTTTTTTTTTTTTTTTTTTTTTTTAACTCATTATATAGTCTTTATCTACTATAAATTTCTTTAACGAAATTTACCTCCACAAATGATATACAGTCGAGTCTCGATAATTCGTACCCTGCTAAACGGAAAATCGCGACAAATCGAAAACAAATTCGACCCCTTGAAAGAAATTCGTTCTCAATATTTCTCGATAATTTGAATTTCTGTGCAAATCGAAAAAAACTGATCCCCTTGCCATTTCGAATTATCGGAATTCCACTGTATATATAAGTACAGTAGAATCCGGTTATAACGACACTCAAGGGACCGTCGGTATACCCGGAAGGTGCTATAACCGTATAAGTTTGCTCATAATAATTTGTCTGGGCACCAGAATTTTCGTCGCTATAACCGTACAGACGCTATAAACGGAGTCGTTATAACCGGATTGTACTGTATATATATAACTTCAAGTCGCTAGCACCTCTAGTCATAGCATTTCAGATATATAAGATATACATACATCTTCACGCCCCAAGTGGGCGTATCCAATCAGAGAGTACATATGGCAAATTTCAAGTCTTCAGCTTCAATTGAATATTGTATGAAACTAATAGGCTCTTCTAACTTCTTGAGCGGGTATGACGAATCTAAAGACCTTAAAGCCTCTACAGCTCCTCCTCGCCTGTAGACACGCGTCCCTTTGCCTGCAGGCTGCCTAGCAAAAAAGCGATTTAAATTTGCCGCCGAGAGTAAAAAGGCGAATATGCAGTGAATGCCACAGCTAATTAGGCCAATGAACAATGGCGAGCATAATGAATGAACGTGCGTTAAGTTCGGGTGGAAATATTGCAACTATTTCTGGAGCATTTGAGGGTAATTAGGTAAACGTGTATTATTGACACAACATGCAATTGCTTTTTGCCATTGCAGATATTTATAGCCGGAGCTGGAGCTGGAGCTGGGGCTGGAGCTGGGGCTGGAACCGAAGCCGGGAGGCGGTGTCAGCAAGTGGCGTGTGTGGGGCGAGGCATGCAATGCATCGGGCCAGAGTATCGCATGGCAATTAGATTAATGGCAATTATAGATGTCAGCTCGAGTGTCGAATGTCTGTTTAAACGCATAATTAATTAAGTGAAGCGCGTTGCACGCGCACTGCACGCGCAGACAGGCGATTCCCATATGGCTGCCTGCCAAGCGGCAAGCGTCGAGATGACGCGACGACGATGCCAATGGCACTGCCAGTGCCACGGTCAAGGCCAACTTCCATCAGGCACTGTCGCAGCCAGACGAAGATCGACCATATTGGGAGAAGAGAAAGAAAACGGAGCAAAGAGCGGCCAATAACTCAACGAAAGGTGTCAATTGCATCTACATCTCATCATATCATCGTCATCTTCATCTTCATCTTCATCTCATCATATCATCTTCATCTTCGCATCTTCGCAATCTTCCTCTTAATTGGCGCACTGAAACTTACAAAATGTTTATGAAATCCGTGTGTTAACCATTAAAGCTGACGGCCATTATCAGCGCGTTGGAGCCAATTCAAGCAAGACGGGGGATTCAATTTAAAAATAACATCAGCAAAATGCAGAAACAGCTCGTAAATGTATCGAGCGAGGCTAAATGGAACATGCACATGAAATACCCATCATTATATTGTTACTCACATTTCTCACTCTCTCTCTCTCTGCCTCTCTTTCTCTCATTCAATCTCTCACCCAATCCCTCTCTCGCTTTCTGTCTGTATCGCGCCCTCTATCTATCTCTCTCTTCCCCTCTCTCTCTGTCTCTCCCTATTTCTGTCTCTCTCTCTCTCTCTCTCTCTCTGTTGCTCTTTCTCCCTCTCTCTCTCCGTCTCTCCCTCTCTCTTTCTCGCGCTCGATCCCTCTCTCTCTATCTGTCTGTATCACTCTCTTTAACTCGCTCTCTCTCTCTATCTCTCTATATCTTTCTCTCGCTCTTTTTCCGTCTTTCTCTGTTCCTCTTTCTCTCTCTGTCTCTCTTTCTCTGTTCCTCTCTCCCTCCCTCCCCTCTCTCTCTCTCTCTCTCTCTCTCTCTCTCTCTTTGTCCTTCTCTAAAAACATATATAAATTTCTTTTTATAAACTTTTAAATACCATTCACACACTAAATACCAATTACAGGGTATTTAAAAATCAATCATTTATTGAGCACTTGTTAGAACACAAAAAGTTAGAACTGTCAGAATGGAAAATAATAATAATAAAATCAAAATAGACAGAGAAAAACAACAAAAATATATGTATTTACATATAATAAATAAAATAAACAAATTTGATAAGCAACCCACGTTGCGAATTCTGAGTATTGCTACACACACACACACACACACACACTAACACACACACACCCACACACATACAGAGAGGAACCCCTCTCAACAAGCCATAAATGAACCCACGTAAAATATATACACACACACTCATGTGTAGCTATAATATTTAATTATTTATATCTATATAGACACATGTACGTATATGTATGCATGTATGTATGTATGTATGTATGCGCGCATCTTATACAAGTGGTTATGTCGCCTCCAGCTGGGCGAAAGAGTCACGACACAACAACAACAATAACAAACAACAATAACAATAACAATAACAACAACAAATGCAAATTCACATATAATTTAAAAATAATTCTAATTTCGATGACGTCGCACCTGTGACGATGATCAGATCAGAGCAATGATAGCAATGATAACGCAACGTTATCAGCATTTGCTTTGCTTATCGTCGAACAGGTTGCGCGAGCACCACTAAACGCTCGTTAAACACGTTCAATTAGTGTGCGAGGTGACAAGGTCTCAATTTCCCAACATGCTTTTCGCCACGAACCGGTTATTGAAAATGTCTCATGCTCAAAACAAAACAATATTATAAATTAATAATAATAAAAATTATGAAAACCATCGATTCTAGGTGATTCAATCAGAGAAAGCATGGGCGTATGTCAATGTTGCGAATAAACGAGACAAAATAGATTATTTCATATCACTTATGATTGGATTTCTAATATCCCTTTAGCTAACATTCTGATAGATAGTCGAAATTTAATAGCTGACTTTAACAGCTAAAAGAAAATAAGCCTTTAGTAATTTAAAAATATATATAACAAAAATTATATATTATAAAAAAAAAAAAATAAATTCCAATAATATTTTTAAAATACTTTTGTATTTTTGTTGAAGAACATTTTATATATTTTTTTTATTAATGTTTTATATCATCTTTATTGTTACAAATATCAAAAATACAACATATATATTTTAGAAATTTTAATATGCCCATTTTTATATTTTTCCCGAATGGCTCGAATGACTTTGCGATATTTTGAACAATTAATTCTTTTTATTATACTGTTATTTCGATATTTGCTGTAAAATATGATAAATCTTTATGAAAATTCACTTCTAAAGACACATTCAAAATTTTATTCCAACTAGAATTTAGCATAACATTTGGGAAAATAGATAAAGGTTCATTCACCTCACTCCACATTATCTCCCAAATAAGGAAACATTTATAAGTTTTACCCTGGCAAGGACAATGGGTTCAACGATATCTTATATGCTCACTATTAATATTATCGCACTAACTAAGGTAACTCACCTGAGCAGCTTATAGAGCAAGTCAAAGCTTTTTAAGCAATTCATTTTAGCAATTAAATTAACAATGTGGCAATAATTATAATAAATTTTTAATTAAAAACTACGAATTTGGTTGAACGAAATACGAAATGAAACTAAGGAAACGAGTTCGTAAACCCCAGAGTCAAGTTTCACAGTAAAACAAAAAAAAAAAAACAAAACAAAACAAAAAAACTGAAATAAAAACATTAATTCTTAAGGGGCTAAATAATTGAAATTTGAACGTGATAAAAAATAATTGAATTAGCAGTAAAACTAGCCGTAAAATAAGTCCGGCAAACTACTATAATTAGGGAAATTCCAATTTGAATCGAATTGGAGAACTGTTTTGCTACTTCTGCTTCTTCTTCGTCTGCTATGCAACACTTAAAATCGAAGTGCAGTCATAAACGAGATGCCAAAGCTTAACGGCTTTTTTCGCGGAATAACTGTTAAATTAAAAATTGGCACAGCTGTCAAATCAATTGGGAATTGAATAATGAGAAGACGTTGGAGAGTGGAGAGTAGAAACTGACCGGATGAAATGCAAAGGAAAGAGAGCGCGCGACAAATCAAAATCAAAAATGAAAAAAAAGAGAAACAAGTTCAAGGCCAAACACACACAGAGACACTCACCTGCCATTGGCTGTTCCAGCAGCTGGCTTCGGCGCCGACGTCACAAGCGACGCTGTCACTGTTGACGTCTCCGTTGACGTCTCCGTTGACGTCTCTGTCGACGTCGTTATCACAGTATCGGGCAGCACGGGCCTGTAGATGAGCGGCTTAACGTTGCGTTCGACGTCGTCCAGGAAGACGACATCGTGCACGGGTATCAGCCGATGATCGGAGACATTGAAGTGGAGGTCGCGGAAGGGTCCGTGCAAGAGGCAGCGCAGCGTCGACGAAGCAACGACGTCCGTCTCATGTGGCGGCAACTGCAACAAGCATAACAAACTCCAATTAGATATATGTATATGCGTGTGTCGCCAATTGGCATTCAAATTGGAATCAGATATTGGGAATTGGAATTGGATTCAGCACCTTGATTTTGCCATTGGCCGCAGAGAACATTGGTCAGAGAGCAGTGCACAAGGAAAACAATAATATTAACTACTAGAATAACCACATAACACGCTCAGCGGCGTCAACTTGTAATATATGTATGTATGTTTGTATATACACAGCACAACACAACAAATAATAATAAAAATACAAAAAATAAAATAATAAAAAAAAGCAACAAAAACTTTCAACACGCGTGCGTCGCGTCGCGTTGGGCAGCGGCAAAAAAAAATTAGAGGGGAGCCAAACGAAAAAAAAGAAAAAAAGAAAAGACATAAACGCAGCCGAAACAAAATATATACAGCTGAGGCAACGATGCTTATGATTTTGTTATTTATCTTGTTTAATTAATATGTTTGTGCCACATGCACAAAACATTATGCTGCGGCTGCGCCTTCACTTTGCATTTCACTTGCCCAATGCGGCAACATTGCGACAGCAGCAGCCAGCAGCCAGCAGTCAGTAGCAGCAAAAACAATAACAATAACAACAACACGCAAAATCAGGCACAACCGCAATTTAATTTTACTTAAACGACTCGCTCGCTCGCAACTGGCGCCGCTCTCCAATTGGTCCATGGAGACGATCAGTTTGAATCAGCTGTGTCTAATTGGCCGCTCTGAACGGCACGCTAGGTGGCAACGTACGCGCGCACAGTGCTGCCAGACTGCCCAGCCGGCGGGAGCACGGCAACACTGATGCGCATTGTTAGGCAACACTGGCTGCACAGAAGCAGCAGATGCAACCACAAGCCACTAGAAAAATGGAAAAATTATAACGTTTAATATATACACTGCACACACAACCCACACAGTAACACAAAATTTTACATTAATAAGCAGGTAAGTTTGGTCTTATGAAATACATGTTAGTTTTGCAGCAAAACAATGGCCAACAATTATGCCGCCGTCTGTATATGTATACGCGTGTTTGCTTGTGTGGGCCTGTCGGCACAAGCAACGACAGCGAAGAGAGAGGGAGAAAAAATGTGCCGCTGGCGCTGCCGGTGTCTCGCATCGCAATCTATGTACATATGTATGTATGTAAATTCAGCAGCGATTGGAGCAGACAATGTCAAAAGAATAGACGAAAATTGCAGTGGAAGCAACGTTTGTTATTATTATTATTTAATTTGAATTTGCATTATTAAGTGATGATCATGTTTGTACAATAATGTTTGTGTTTTCCTCTCGCTTCTAGAATTCATGCGTTTGCTGTACTGAATTCAACGAACTTCGCAACAGGAACAACAACAACTACAATAACCCAACTACGACAGCAGCAGAGGCAAGAAGTACAGTAAGAGAACGGTATGCATTTAACAAATAACATTTAACAACAAAAAGCATGAAGACTAACCCAAAACTCTCTTTTGCTCTAGGCGCTAATATTTTGGTTGAAATTTTAGTTTTTATTCCATTTCTGTTTGTTCATTTTCTATTTCTCTTTATATTTGCTTTGTTTTACTGCATAGATAGCATAGATATGTCACACACCATTTTGCTGGTACAGCCGGGCGCGCGGCCCGAGACGCGAACCTATTGCGATTATGAGAGCGTCAATGAGTGCATGGAAGGCGTTTGCAAGATCTACGAGGAGCATCTGAAGCGACGAAATCCGAACACGCCCACCATTACGTACGACATCAGTCAGCTGTTCGATTTTATCGATACGCTAATCGACATTAGCTGTCTGGTCTATCAAAAGAGCACTAATACCTACGCGCCCTACAACAAGGACTGGATCAAGGAGAAGATCTATGTTCTGCTGCGGCAGGCGGCGTTCAGTCCAAATGCCTGAGATGGCCTCCACTGCTGACTAGCCAAACACAACCAAAAAAAAAACAAAAAAACCATTATAGCCTAATATCACAGTTTCAATGGGTCTAAGATATAAAAGCAACACAACAACAACAACCACAACAGTAAACAAAAAAGTGCGAAATAGAGATACTGCATTGATTCAATAATCAATCAATAACTCCAGTCATTTGCAGCTAATTATGAATTGAATTGTGAAAAAGCAAATGAGAATGAGAATAATATTCATTTACTAGCAGCAGTGTGAGATGATGGGACAGACGAATATTGGATTCTAATTTCAATCTTACCTGAACGTAGGCAGCGAGTGTATTGCTTCTGCCATTTTTTTGTTGTTTTTTTTTTTTTTATATAGATATATATATATATACTATATATGTATAGGCATGTGCACCTACGGACGCTAAGTGAAAAAGTTCTTTTTTTAATCTACTATGTATGTAAGTATATCTATTATACATACATTTGTATTTGATTGGGCGATCATAAGTGAAAGATCAACAATGATTATGTTAAAATTGTTACAATTACAGAAATAATTATCTCTTGAGCATAAGAAAATATGATTGCATTATGTATAATACATAATACATAATACTTTAAGCGTATTTCTGGTCAATACAGCTGCAGTCATTGAAACAGTAGTGAAAATGAGCTATGAATATTCGGCTCGATATCAACATAGAAATTATTAACAATATATATGTTAATCTTAATATTTGTTTTGTACAACATTCAGTTGTTTTACCACTATATATATATTGAATTTTGTATTTGATTTTATTTTAATTTTACTCTTATTTTCTGCCCGAAGCATATCCACTACTATTTGAATGAACACTGCCTGCCGTATTGACAGCTTGCCGCTTCTCCCAGTCCCAATTAAATATAAATGCTATGATATGACATAACATGACATATTTTGTTAGATTTAATGTAGTTTTAAGCGAAATTTAAATTAAAATTTATTGAATACATAATTTTATTTTGATTTAGAGAGATATGTAGAAATGCCTCTATCATATTTTATTTTAATAAAAAATAATTGAAGAAAATATTTAAGCGTGTATATCATTATTTTTACTATTCAATGCAATTTATATGAAAATTCTGGCGTGAATTAAGTAACTGGGACAAATTCAGAAAAAAATCTACAAAATTCAATAGAATTGCTTGTAAATCGTAAATTAACTTTAAATAGAACTCCCTTGCATTGGTCGCATTGGCATTGAATTGATCAGAATTTACATCATTTTGTTGTCCAATTACTCCCATTCTTGAATTGGCATTTTTGTATCAAGAAAATAGTAGTAAATATATACTACTACTATACTGCTATTTGCACAACTGTCTATATACATATGTATGTAGCTAAATATAATTTAACTAATATTACCTAGCGTTACTTTTCTCCCTACATCTAATGCATTTTGAAGACTAAAAATATATAAATCTCATTTGATTTACACTCCATTACCCTTAAAAAAAAAAAAAAAAAAAACAAATACACATACATATACTACTGCTACTGAGACACGAGCCTAGCTATCTCCAATTAGAATGATAATATATTATTAGACAACAACAAAATCCCATGTGCTGCCGTGCTTAACATTAGCAATTTTTATCACACAATGCAACAAAAAAGCTCTTGAAAAGTTTAGACTTTACTTTCATTCTAAAAACAGTCAAGATCTATATAAATATATGCACATACATATGTACATCTCTCTCAACAGTAATGCATTATGTATGTATAAATATTTACGCGTATTTGCTTAGACAAGTGCTAGAAATTTATACATACATATATACATAGATATTTCTGTACTAATATTTTAATAAAAAAGCTTTAGAAAGGTTTCGACTTTATTTTTATTCTAAAAGCGGTCAAGATCTATATGTGTGTCTATCTCTTTCCCTCCCTCTCTAAGACAGCAATGTATGTATGTATGTATGTGCATAACTGTTTAGCCAATAGAATCTAGTTTAGTGGATGCTGCGTAGTTGCATTTTGTTTTTGTTTGTTTATATTTTATAAATGAAGCGAAGCACTTGATATTAGTTGATGTTGGCCAAGTCTAAAAGGAAAATGAAGTTTTTGCCATTAGCTAAACAAATTGAGTTCAATCGCTTCACCTTCAGTGTTGCAGTTTGAACCGCAATAGTGAGAACCATAAAATCTTGTTAATTGGCAATTGTTGACAACTTTATTTTATCGGTGAGTATGCGTATGCGTGTGTGTGTGTGTGTGTGTTTGTTTTATGATATATAGAACCTTTAGTCGTTTTGGTGATATTAGCGTCAGTAGCCCGTAACGAGAGTAAATAACAAAATACAAACAACAATTGCAAAGCTGAAGCTGAAGCCGAAGCTGGCTCAGCAAAAGCCTTGAGGGGCGTCTGCGTCGACGTCGCCGTCGCAGTTAGCGTCGCCACAGCTGCATTGAACTTGGCGTGCATTTTATATAAATACAAATATAAATAAGTACATATATATGTATACATACATAGATATTTTCAGTTATCGTTCTTGTTCGTTTTTTTATTTTTAAATTTTTTTTTTTTTTTTTTTTAATTTCATTTTTTTAATTGGCCAGGCAGCTTTTGTTGTAATTGAATGTAAAAACTAAGCAATTTAATGTAGTTACTGCGAACTGGTTTTTGCGACTTCACAGCAAACATTTAAAGCCAGGCAGCCAAATAGCAACAACAACAAATGTCAATGTCAAGTTCATGCCATATTTGGCCACACACACACACGCGCACGCATGAGATTTGAAATGCAAGCGCTATTGCTATCTCTTTCATTTTAGAGTAGAATTTTAAAAGCTTTGGTTTTTTCGGATTTTTTTGTTTCTTGTGTTTTCTTTCTTATTCACATTACAATTTAATTAGATCTATACAAACAAAAATAATAGTCGTATATTATTTAAATCTGCTCTTCTGTCTGCCTCTTCTTTATTAAACGTTATTTCTACCTCACTTATGACGCATTTGCCGTGCTGGATTAGCCTCAGCTTCATATTCAACTTCATATTCCACTTGCAGTTTCGGTTTGCCGCGTCGCTTAGCTGCAACTGTTGTTGTTGTTGTTGTTGTTGTATCCTTTGTTGCTGCCTCTGTTGTTGCCTTTGACTTCTTATCCTCGGAGCTGCGCTTCTTTGTGGGTTTCGTCGGCACGTGGGTGTCCTGCATAAAACATTTACGTTATTTAGCACGGCTTTTTTTTAGTCGTTCTTTTCAATTATTATTATTAATTTTTAATTTCTGTTTTTGGCAATTTGTCACTCGAAAAGCGCGCTTTAGGGTTCGAGTCAATATGCGCGCGCGCGCGTTCATCGACTGCCGTTGCCGTTGTCGCTTGATGTGCATGGTGCTATCAGCGCCGCAGCCAGCAGTCGAGAACGGCGGCAGCGACGCCGGCAGCGCTGTCGTCTACTTTCTGCCGGCCGGCAACAAAACAAAAAACCAACTTGTCTTGTTTTCATTGCAAATTATGGTAATTAGCCTTGGGCAATGCCTGATTTTTGCATAAGAAACAAATGCGAAACAAAACAAATTCTGAGCGATGCAAATGTCAATAATAAACTCAGTCGAATGTAAAATTGCCAATTGAAATGAAAAATAGAAAACAAAAACAAACAAAAAAAAGACATAATAAATCTGAACAATCTGAGTTAGTACCTCAATATCATCTTCATTGTCATCATCATCGTCGGACTGCGCAAAGTCGCTGTCCATTTCCACCTCTTCGCGCTGGCCTGAATCGCTCTCCTCATCTTCATCATCATCATCATCGCCGTAGTCCTCTTCCTCGTCTTCATCATCATCGCTGTCCGCCTCAACAAACTCTTCTGTATCGTTGAGTGCACGTCGCAGCTCCCTGGCTTCATCCACTTCCATTTCCGTCTCATGCTCGCGCTCCTCCTCTTCGTCTTCCTCCTCGCGCTCGTCCTCATCCTCATCCACATGCTCCGCTTCCAGCGCCTTGTTAAACGCCGTCTGTGAAAAATTGTAGATATCCTTGTACGTGCCCATCTTCAAGCGCGTCAGCAGCTCCTTCTCAATGTGATTATCGATCTTAGCCGCGATGAGCGCCTTCTGTTCACGGCGCGCTTCGCGTCGTTCGATCTTCGTGGACAGCGGCACAATCAGCTTCTGGCGGCGCAGCTTCAGCCTTCGCATGCGCATCAGATACTGTGTGATCTTCAGGAATCGCTGCTTGTTCTTGGCTATCATGTATTTGGGCCAGAATACCAAGTTCTCGTTGATCTGCTGGATGGCCTTCTCGAAGTTGCGCGACAACTTGATACGCTCCCACAGTTTGCTCGGCATATGTGCCCGTTCCGCCGTCTTGATGAACAGATAAATGATGCCCTTCTCCTCGCGCACTGTTGCATATTGTGAGTTGGCCAGCGGGCAGGTGCGACGCGTGCACAAGCCCGTCAGATTGTATTCATGGCGACAGAAGGTGCGCGTATCAGTTCTGCAAGGAAACGTTTGTTTGTTCTCAATGTCATTTCCATTTTAATTCAATTTAATTGCACTTACTTGACTTTGTGTGAGCAGAAGGATTTGTTGATGATGCTCCAAACGACCTGGGCGGGAGTGAACAGTTTTATTTAGGTTTCACTTAATTGAATTTGGCATACTCACATCGTCGTGTTGCATTTTGTCTCAATGTTTTGATTTAACGTTTCAGTTCTGTGTATTATGAATCAAATTAAACACTTTTTGTTAACACGTGCAACGTGCTAGCGGCTTTCAAAACACACGGCTCGTGCTTAGCATTCGCCTGTCAACGTTTTCGTGTGGCCAGCTAGCATAATCGATATATCGATAACATATACATTTTGTCTATGCAACTAATACGCTGCACGCGAAACATGACATGATTGCAATGCTTAATTTACTGTTCTTATGCAAACATTTATATAATTGATTTAGTAGAATTAATTTTATAACAGCATTTTGATTCATGGGCCTCTTACAGCCAGTCTATATTTTTGAATGTACGCAGATTTATAATTTGCATGCAAATTATTATTAATATAAATAAGCATAAATATATTATTTATTTAATGCTGTGCAGTAAAAATAGTGTTGGGTAGCTTGGCAACGCAAATCATCTATTATTCCTTGAACATATACCCCAAAATTGCAAATGGCCAATTGCTCACCGCTGCCATGTTGAGCAGCATACCTTGCCACACAGCTTAAGACTTTTTATTCAATAGTGCCGGCTATCGCCAGTCCTGCTGCCCATATGTCATTTAAATCTATCGTCATCGATATTGCTTTAAACAAACTGACATACAAGGACAAGAGCTAGCCGCTGTCACTGCCCGGTTTTTTGTAGTTGTAATATACATACGTATATATCAAATAGTTTGACGTTTAGTTTCTCCCATTTTATCGTGGCTGTGGTTGGAAGTAGTACAAGTCAAATAAAATATTTTAAAAAACTTTTACAACCTGAAAAAAAAAAACCCAAAAACAATGAAATCTCTTCTATTAATGATTGCCGCCAAGGCGCTGCCGATTTTGGCGCTTAGTTTTGTGCTCTGTCTGCTGCTCTACAAGATGTACGTGCACGTGCGGTAAGTAAGACAGAAATTTTATTCATATTATGTATGTATGTAGGTATGTATGTATATCGGTATGGGACTTGAGGTAACAATTATGCTTCAATTTATGATATATATGTATGTATCTTCGTGGTTAGCTCACGTTTCGGCATAACGGTAAACTGCTGGTTCTGTAACACAAACTCGCGCGTGCCGTACGGCGATCGCAACAGCTGGAACTGTCCCGAATGCGAGCAGTATAATGGCTTTACCGGCGATGGTGACTATAATCGTGATATATTCGCTCAGCACGACTCCAGTATACGCTGCGATGCCCACTCCTCGATGGACAGCAGCAGCGGCATCATGCGTAACGGGCTGTGTGCCAATGCTTACTATGGCAACGCTATGGCCGGCGGAACGCCGCCACCGCAAGATAACGGACTGTGCGACCAGTGCAACGAGGCGCAGCGCCTGAAGATTGAGAAGCTGGCCCAGTTCGAGCCGCGTTTCGAGGCGTGCTTCGACCAGGAATTGAAACGCTTTAAGTGAGTAGCCCAGAGAGTATTCCCTTCTGCCCCATAGATTCACTCATTCGCTTGCCCGCAGACACGAGCTGGAACAGCGCTATCGCCTGTGCACCACCTGTGAGCGCCATGTCAACCGTGTGCTCCACGAGAAGAAGAAAATGGTGCTGGGCGCTAAGCTGTTGAATTTCATTATAAAGGGCGCCGCCCTGCTCAAGCAGCCGCACTATGAGCGTCTCGCTCATGCCCAGAAGCAGCGCTGCCTGATGCGCTACCAGCTCTGGATGAAGCTGATGACAATGGTCAACATCGTCTGTCTGCTGTGCACCCTGCCCACGGCCACACCGGAGCAGTTCACCGAGTTGCTGGGCAACATACTGGCCAAGCCCGCCTATTTCGTCTACACGCACGCCCTGACCATGCTGCATCTGACCATCGCCTATGCCAGCGAGTGGCTGGCCGCACAGGCCTTCCTCTCAAAGCTCTGGATGTTTGCCGCCGTCGTGGGCAAACTGGTCTTCTACACCGTGGGCACGCCGCAGTCCCTAGCCGACGAGGTCACCTTCAACAGCTGCTACACCAGCTTCTATCCGTATGCCATGCTGGTCATCAGTTTGATTAGTAACCTTGTCTCTGGATTCAAGTTGACCCGCTATACCGCGCTGCTCGTCCTGTGGAGCATCTATGCCAAGGGCTCCTTTTTGATCTTTGAGGCCATCAATGGGATCACCTTCATTGTGAGTACTCTTAATCTTCCATGTCAATTGCTACTCCAAGCTTCACTAATCCCATTCCTGCCAAAGCTGTTGGGCAGCTTGTCCACCCTGATCCTGTTGTATATGCGCGACGAGAGTCGCCTGGAGCAACTGTCGGCTTCCGAAAGCTTCCATCGCCTGTGCACAGACGAGTGCATCAACGACGAGGAGACTATCAGCATGATCAGCGAGCAGCTGAGCTGCAATGCGAGCAACAACAGCAATGCCAGCAACCTGTCCGTGCTGAACTCCAACTGTCCGACTCCGAGCCCGGCCCCGACCCAAGTCGCAGCCCGTACCCCGACCCCGAGATCGAACCCGGCCCCACAGCTGCGCAGCGTCAGCCTCAACAGTCTGGGCAAGCCCCTTATTGCGCCTTCGGTGTTGTCCATGGACTCGCTGCGTGTCTCTTCGCAGCGCACACACCTCAATCCGATGTCCCCATCGCCGGTGCTTTCACCGACGCCAGCCACCAGCTACAATCCCATCTATCACACCCAGACGTCCATGTACTCGGCCGGCAGCTTGGACCAGCAGGGCTGGCGCCGCAACTATGCCGTGGGCGTGAGCACGATTGGAGAGGATGGTATTTGGCAGCGCAGCGGCATTAACTCCAATTATCAGACTTCTGGACAGACAATTTATGGCCTTGATCAGCGTCCGATGACGCGCTCCAACAACAACTTGCTCTATCCGTCGCACCTCGTATTGCAGCAGCAGCAGCGCGAAAGCAACATCTCCGCCTGGGTGAACGCCACCAGTGTCCATACGCAGCCGGAACTGCTACATGAGCCCAACACCGCCAATCTAATGCAGTGCAACAACAACAACACTCGCGACCTCTCACGCACCTCGTCCCAGTCCTCAGGCTTCGAGTCGCAGCTGGGCAATCAGCGTCCCGAGCCATCCCAGTGGGGATCAGTATCAGGACAGGACCAGGCATCACTGAACAATCTGAATCCGAGTGTGGGACGCGATTACCCATTGCCGTTGCGCGTGCAATCGCCTCAGGGCTCGCCGTACGCTGGACAGGGGGTTCACGATATTCGTCCCGGGGATCTGTTGCGCAAGTGGATGGAACGTGACGGAACCGCCAAGGCCAATTGATTAATCATCTAGTCTTCTTCTAGTTCATTAGTTGGTTTGTGTTCATTCGTTAAACTTTCAGGTTTTTTGTTTCTAATTTTTTATTTTCTTTTTCTTTTCTTCTTTTTCTTTTTTTTGGCTTGAACAATAAAAACGAAACACTAACCATAATACTATAGCTATATAACTATAATAGTATAACAACTCAGGAATCAAGGACGCTATATTTCATAGATATATTAACTATATTAAGATCTTGATTAACGATATCTTTTGAAACTAAAATTATAATTAATTGTAGAATAGTTTTTAGAGCTAACCGAACTGGATCGAACTTAAAATTTAAGAAATGTTGAAAAGAAAAAACCTGAGAAAAAGCATATATATAGATATACTAACTACCCCGGTCCAGTTCCCCAGCAAAGTCACAAATTTTTATTTTAAAAGATATCCTAACATATAATGGACAGAATAGTTCAAATATTTATTACAATCTGCCAGAATATTGTTATATATAAAAGAAACAACAAATACTTCAATATTCTAGTTTTTGAATGAAATAAGAAATATATGCATTTATATTTGAAAACAAATTTATTTTTATTAAAAAAAGAAGAATAATAACTAAAAAAGAAAAAAATATATGAGACTGATAAAATATTTTAGTTTCATCATTAAATATTTAAGTTTCCTAATGAAGTAACAATTAAATGAATGCATATATAACTGATAAAAAAATGTTTATATATTTTTATCTAAAGATATAAATTTAATTAAAAATATATATAATAAAGTATGAGACTGCCGTAACTAAAATCGAAATAAAATAAAATTCATTCAAGCTTAAAAGAAATATATAGTTTATTTTTTTACATTTGTTGAACAATTGTAGCAAAATATAAAATTTAATTTTCTACATTCGTTTGTAAGTTTCAAATAAATTCTGCTTTCGCCCACTGTGGCTTTGGCGCGTTGAGCGGAGCTAGTTTTGCACTATCTGGCAACACCACGGCAGGCCGGCAAAACAGCTGTGCGAGCAGTGCAGCAGCAACAATAAAAATAAAATAAAAATCGTTGGGCCACTGGCCAACGGCGGCAGTAATAAGAAGGAGGCAGAAAGTAGGAAAGAAAGAAAGGAAAAAATAGCGCTGCAGTTGCAGAGGAACTGCGACTGCATTTACTATATAATCGGCATACTTAGATATATAGATATAGCGAGAAACGGCGATCGATCGTGACGAGACAGAGAGCAAACGGCAAACAGCAAGATGAGCAGCCAGCAGCGGACGGTGATTATATTCAAATCGGAATCGGAGAGCACGGATGTCTACGCGGAGACTCTGCTGGCGCACAACTTTCAGCCGTTGTTCGTGCCGACGCTGAGCTTCGGCTTCAAAAATCTTGAACAGCTGCGGGCCAAGCTGCAGACGCCGGACAAATATGCGGGCATCATCTTCACCAGTCCGAGGTGTGTTGAGGCCGTTGCCGAGGCACTGCAACTGGCGGAGCTGCCCAGCGGTTGGAAACTATTGCATAACTATGCCGTCGGCGAGGTTACGCACAATCTGGCCATGAGCACGCTGCAGCAGCTATTCACCCACGGCAAGCAGACGGGCAACGCCCGGAATCTGGGCGACTTCATTGTGGACACGTTCGATGGATCACGAAATCTGCCGTTGCTGCTGCCGTGCGGCAATCTGGCCACGGACACGCTGCTCTCGAAGCTGGCGGAGAATGGTTTCTGTGTGGATGCGTGCGAGGTGTACGAGACGAAGTGCAATCCACAGCTGGCCGAGTGTATGGATCGTGCCCTGAAGGCGGAGAATATTGAGTTCCTGGCATTCTTCTCACCCTCCGGTGTGAATTGTGCGTATGAATACTTCAAGGCCCGCAACATTGCGCCGGATCAGTGGAAGCTGGTGGCCATTGGGCCGAGCACTCGACGCGCCCTGGAGTCGCTGGGGCTGAAGGTACTGTGCACCGCAGAGCGGCCAACGGTGGAGCATCTGGTGAAGGTATTGCTCAACCCGCAGGAGAGTCGTGAGCGCCTGCTTCGGGAGCGCCTGGACGTAGCATAAGTGTTTTTGTTTTAATTACTTCGAGTTGAATCTATCTCCATCTATCTCTCTCTCTCTCTCTCTCTCTCTATGTGACCTCGATGAGTACAAAATTAGTGAGCCCAGCATGAAATGTTGCGCATTATAAGTTATTTTTGACGCCCGATACTCACCTCAATTGAAGCTAAATAAATTTGTTTTTTTCGTATCTAAATTTACATTTGGCCGACATTTTTCAAATACCAGCTGCACCCGCCAACACAGTTATCGATAGGCTGTGGAGGCAAGCAAATAAATACCAGCAGTAATAAATAGCTGTCGATAAACTAAAATATTCCTACGATATCGAAATTATATCGTGTTTTTTCCTCTATGTATCGAAATATGTATCCATCTCTAATATAACTGATCGCCAGCTCGCTTTCCTTTAACTAAGTTACTAATAATATTAAAAAATAACAGTGCGTTGGGGAATTGATATAAAAATTAGATTCAAATTACATCGCATTGCGCGTTGAGTCACCGTCACACACACATACGCATGTCTGTTTAGGCACAAAGGTGAAGGCACCCAATAGCAGTTCGGCATACTTTTACACACTGAGAACGGCCGCCAGCAGACGGTGGTGCTGTCTTTATTCGTGCTTTGGGTGACAAAACTATCGATACTATCGATTATGGTGCAGCTCTAGCGACAGCGACAACGAAGTAATTTTTGTGCTTTTGTGCCCGCCGCGCCACTGAAGCAGTTTTATTCTATTATTTTTTTTTCGTTCAACTTTTGTGTGATTTTCTGCGCATTTATAGCCAATAACAAACAGCGATAGTATTTTGGCGTTTGTGAGTGTATGTTGCGTTGTACATAAAACTAAAACGAAAGAAAAACTCCACGCAAACACTTTGTGCCGGTGTCAGCCGAAATTGCAGGTGAGTTCAGCCAAGTTAATTGGTTTTCATATCCTATACCTTTTCCTGGTACATTATATGCAGTCGTACGAGTGTACCCAGTACAAAGGGTTTTCTGTTTTTTAAATATTTTTTTTTTGTGTGTGATCATGCAGCATTAAAAGCAATAAAAATGAAGTGGGATGGCAAGAAAGCAACCAAGAACCGAGCAAACGGAATGAGTGTGTAACGCAATGTTGAAATACCGGTGTGCGCGGCGTCAGTGTGCATACATGTACATGTGTTTGTGTGTGTGTGTGTGCATGAATGTGTGCTAGTGTGAGAGAGAGCGCGACTTGAGTTGAATTGGTTTGAGTGAGTCATTAACCGGCCTGCGCGCCGCTTTGTCAACGTTTGCTGTTTTTTGGCATTGCAAATTGGCAAATTTGCCGTTGACACTTTTTATATTTGTTGTATTTACTTGCTAAAACATGCAACTAACACAGTTTCGTTGTCTGCCAACGAATAGCAACGACAACAAATCAAATAGTGAGAGTGAGAGTGAGAGACATTTCGCTGCATGCTACGGCTTAGCTCTCTTCGCCGCTGCTACTGCCGCCGCCGTTTTAAATCAAATTCGCCAAAAAGTCTGTTAAATATTTGAATTTCAGTGCCAAGCTTGAGTTCTCCCTAAAGTATTTAGCGCGCGCGCTGTGCGCTAGAGCGAGACAATGGAAAATAATGTGAGAATTAATATATGCATTTTGTATTTTGTGTACATGTATATATATATATATATATATACTTATGTATGTATATATTTGTTATTGGTGTGCCGGCTGCCATAAATCACTGTCGCTGCCCGCCGGCCACCTTTTGCTGCTTATTATTGTTGTGTTAGCCAAAGCGTGTGAAAATTGCAGTCAATGCTGCCTCGCAACCACCGTTTTTCCAGCGGGTCGTTCAAAGTTTTTCCACTTACTCACTCACTCATACACGCATACATACATATACATACATATACGTTATGTTGCGTCGTCTTGTATTGTGTTACTGTCTTTCTTTGTGTCTGCAGGTCGCTTACTTCCGTTTTTATCATATGTCGCCGCATACATACATACATACATATTTATGCATGTATATATACTTATATGTGTGTATGTGTGGCTATACATATGTATGCTAGTCCAACAACAGCATATTATCTCATTAGCATAAAGACGCATTTTCTAGTTAGAAGTTTTAATATTGTTCCAATTTATAAACTGAACCAATTTACAGAATTTGTTTGGATTCTGTGTGAGTTTTGAATACGGTCTAATAAATTCACATTTTACCTACACCTATATTCTTATTTATGCACATATATATACATATGTACATATGTATGTGCTAGCTGGATTAAAGAGAACAAATAACGAAATTCCCAATCCTGATTTGACTAAGAAAAAAACCTGGCAGCACTGGTTTGATGGCTGGCCTGCTTCTACCATTCACACACGCACGCATGCATATGTGTGAATGCATGTGTGTGTTTGTGTACGAAAGTTTCCAATTTTATTGAACCGGGACATTAGTTAAACGCTTTGCTGTTCTGGTTCTTTCTGATTTGTTCAGCATCTCAATGGCTTGACATTCCCATGCCATTTGTAACGGTTTGTCTTGTGGCAGCAAGAAAGCAGCGCAAAACTAGAAATAAATAACCACAAAACCGAAGCCTATGGGCACCCAAGTTCTAAGCTCTAAAAGCAGCCAAGATCTTCCCACTTTCGTACTCTTCGCCGTACGCGCAAGGCAAAAAGACAAAAAACATTGAGCGAGAGAGAGAGAGAGAGAGAGAGAGCGAGAGGCAGGCGCTGGTAAATGATGTAGCAGCGGATGCTGCGGCGCAGTTGTGCTCAGTTGTTTACACTCGCTCACTTACTGGCAACGCCAATGGGCTCTCGCTCACTCTGTGTGTGTGTGTGTGTCTGTTCATTCATTATTTGATTTATCGGCCAAAAGTAGAACGATTCGTAATTAGCTTGTTGAACATGCCCAAAACGGGCGGGTGACCGAAGCTGTGTTAAAATCTCTTTCTATCTCTATCTCTCTCACTCTCGCGTACTCTCTCTTGTTCTTTCTCTTTCCCTCTCCCATTGCTCTCATCAATTAACACCTTATTTTCTATGATTTATGTATATATATATATCCACATATTCATTGCTGTTCATCCAGCAAACTGAGACAAAACCAGTTTGTGTGCCAGTGTTGCCATTTTGTGCGAAATTTGCGTAGCTACCCAACGATTTTCTGTTGTTTTTATTGGGCTGAAGAGAAGAAAACAAAACGCCGAGAAGAAGCAACAGCAGCCACAGGTAAGCACCCAACGTTGACGTTGCTGCTACTGATGTGCGCGTGTGATATATGTATATATGTGAGCGTTAAATATAAATTAGCACAATAACACTTGAATATTCGATATTAATTTGTGTTTAATATTCTAAAAATAAATTAATTTGAGTTGGCAATTAAAGTTATAAAATTTATTACTGTGTAATTAGGACTGATGACACTACAGGTTGAAGATATGCAAATTGTTTTTGGCTTTCACTTTT